GTTGGGCTAGGTAAAATTCAAAGGGTTTTACGAACATCACAGAGTGGGAAGTGCGAGTAAAATTTTCTACCCCGCATGCTAAGAACACCCAACAATTTGAGAGAAAACTGTAGTTTCCACCGTGAATCGTTCGACCTCGCTTCCAGTTTACCAAATGTTGACATCCTAAGAAGTGAGGTGGATGAAACCGGTCGTGGGCTGTCGACGAATTTTCAGCAACCTTATGAGTAGTGCATCACAAGTATACATGTATCGCGATATCTCGAATATCGTAGCGACTGATACATGAGGCGGCCTGGTGCAGCATATTCAGTTTCCTGGAAACATCACAAACGAGTGATTCAGCTGGGTTCCAGGTAAGTCCCTCGATAAACCAACTTAGTTTGCAAATGAGTGTATTTCTCGAAAGCAGTCCAATTTGGTTTCAAGTAGAACATAAGGTTGACGGAAACCCGGGGAGTGTGCCTACGTGATAAGCCCCAAGAATGGCGAAACTGGTCGTAGGCTGTCGAAGAGTTTTCAGCAACCTTATGAGTAGTGCAATACAAATGAAGTAGTATCTATTTGGTTTCCGCGTTTTTTTATCTCATTTGTCGGCTCAGCTGGGCCTTTCATGTCCGACACAACCCCCTCCCCCGACGAAACACTGATTGCAGTCATTTTACGTGCTTCCTCGCAAGTCAATTTGGTCGGAGTGGAAGAGACAGCGAAAAGTCAGCTGAATTTCTTGTCTGTGGTGATAATATTTGACTGAATCTGTTGCATAAAGGCTGTTTTGCAGCTCGTTTTCGACAGATTTCAGGACGCCAAAGTGCTTTTCCTGAAAAAAAAAGATGATACTGGGATGATTATATTCAGGTGATATTCGGCTGGTATACCAAGTTAATTTTCACATTTGTGTATAGCTGGAACTAAGTTCAAATCGATTTTCAATCTGGAAATAAGTTTGATATGTCCGAAAAACTGGTAGTGAACTTTAAAATGATTGCATCCAACTTTAGAAATAGTGCTGTATCAAGTTTCGTTACAGTTCTTGAATTTTTCGGTAATCGAAAATCCAGAGATGACTGATTACCTCCTGCACCGTGTATTGGTTATTCACGTGACCACCCAAAACCGAAATCAATACCTTATCTCCGCATTTGCGTGAAACCTTTTTTATCCTTTTAGAATTTTCTAGTCAACCGTTCTGTTCGTCCCATACCTCTTTGTGCAAGACACGGTGGCTAGGTGGTCGTTGGTTTGTTCGCTGAGCTGGGCAATTTGATTGTAAACGTTTCATCACCAATCGACATGACATCATCAGTGCGTTATTGGGGAGCGTAGTGATGTGTAGCGGTGGGTTACTGGTTGTGCGTTGAGTCGCGTTACGTGTGCGTTAATATACGTGCTGCTAGTCGGAGCTGACCTTCGATCACAATCAGCTGTTCGATCGGGCGGTTACATTGGTTGCTCTGTTATCCTGTCTCCTGATTCGTCGGTGCCCACGTGACCTCCTCCCCAAAGAAAACAAGACGGCTTATTGAACAGTACAACTTAGGGTAAAACATGCACAGGGACTTAGCGTCGGCGTGTACTAGTCTGTACAGGTATATGGCAAAGTTAGAGGCGTTCTGAATACCTCCGTAGTCAGGAATACTTTTTGATATTCTCTCGATGCCTCAGTCAGCCATTTGCGTGGTAAACATTGGACAGATTTGAAAATACAATATTATACTGTTCTCATCGGGCCAGCGGGACTGCATCAAAGTGACAGACTGATACACTAGCATGTGGACGGGCCTGGAATGCAAACTATAGTTGTGTGCATTTGCGCGTTTGTATGAAATCACACTCATCGTCTTGTTTTCTCGCTAGGTTCGATGGCGTTGACGTCAGCGTGATCATGCTTTGCGCGAATTTACACAGGTGTATGACAAGGTGATACGAGCTGGCAGAGACGCAACTACACAGGAATTTGGCATCATACTCTAGAGGTAATTAAGCTCGAACACAATCGAATTCGTCTCAGCAAAATGATAAAATTGCTGGACCATGACCTCTAGATGGACGTATTTCAATAGCGGGCCGTTTGAATACAAGTGTTGGGCTGTCTGCTAATCAGTCTTACTCACGGGCCTGTCAGTCCTACGAATAGCGGGGTGATGTACCCCACTTTTTGCACTTATATTCAGTCTTTGTGTGTATATAGTCGTCCTTCTGTAAGCTCCCTTACCTCTGAATGACTTCTTAATTGCAAAGCACGAACAGCAAGTTCATTGCAATTGTGACTGCCTTGACGCACATTTTCTCAAACAGGTGTGAGGAACGGTGGCCTAGCGGTGGTGGAATTGGGGAATCAGCCTCACAGGAACAGCAGACCTCTGCGGTTATTTTCAACCAGATCATTTGGGGCCGTATGAATGTGGTGTCTGAATAATACAGGTGGCTGGTCCACTCACAGCTTATATCGTGGGATCCGGCTGTGTGTCTAACGTAATCAAAGAGTATGAATATTTCGTAATGCTGAGCATGTACTGGATGTTTGCCATAGATTCTTGCCGCGAGAGGTGACCGTATGCTGAGCCTCGCCTGACGGCAGGCGTTTTTGTTTCTAACATGCATCCATGCTTGAAGTTTGGATTCCCTCAATTTTCAGTCCCGGCGGCCTCAATCCCGTTTCGTTACCCCATACAGAGTAGTTATCAGCAGCGAAAAATGATTTGAATATGCACGTAAACATTACAGATGTTTCCTTCTCGCGTCTCACCAGTCACGTGAATGTCACTTCAAGGTTTCTCGTCACGAAGCGAGTGCGTTGTGTAGAAACCCAAAGAAAACCACAACGTCTAAGCGTCATGCTGCGTTGGCATCAGTTCTTGTGTCCGGAAAAAGGTTCATCATCTTGTCATCCGAGTGTTAACGAAACATTCACTGGTCTGACCCCCACAAACACCCAATGTTGAACCTATTCACCATTCATCTACACCCAACTAACTTCGTTGAACGACCGCAAAAACGGTTATCGTCTGAAAATGCCCAATTGTTTGAAATTCCACTAACTAGGTGCGGTATTCAGCTCAGAAAGGCTATTAATATCAACGCATAGGTTGAGAGAAGTAGATCAAGAACTCATTTGTTGCCCTGAAGGTCTTAAATTGATGGATGTGTGAAAGTGAGTCGAACAAATGGAGACCAATCAGACTGAACGGTTGTGATGGGTAAATCAGAACAACATATTAAGTGAAGAGGGCACGTAACGTGGGGGCTACTAAACACAGTATGAGAATGACAAGCCATTGCATGCATGGCAATCAGGTGTGATTTCCAGCCTACAGACGTTCATATCAAACACCAGGGCTGAATGGAACAAGGGACACTTGCTTCACAGCCCAGACCGGTCGCACCAGTTCACTGTGGATTATCCACCCATTGTCTTAGCACCACTGAGGCTTGCTAACCAAACAAATACACTGGTGACAAATTTATGTGTCCAAACAAAGCGGTGAGAAAACAATGTGTGAAATCTGCCCACTANAGAACCGCTTGACTGGTTTGGATTGGCCCGCGAAATCCTCAATACACACTTGAGTGACTGTTAGTACCACAACCGTTCCAGACAAGCGAGGTCGCATACACGAACACAAAAATTGCATGGAGCTGATAAAAACGTGACCATTATCAGTATGATCAGTATTCCAAACAGAACAATAACAACACTAATAAAGCCGAATGCCTTTACAGTCAAACCAAAAACCGGACAATGTGAAAGCCCTTTTGTATGTTTGTGATAAATTAACTGTCTTTACGGTTTTATCACACAGCAGATGAGAGATAACGCAGTGAGTTGAATGGCAACAAATAGTGATTACTGCAGATGATATGGTTTCTCTGTTTGCAGAAACTACCTTCCGAGTGACAGCCCTTCAAAACGGATAACCTCAGATGGGTCATTTCGGGTGAGAAAGGCACCGTTTTGTATGGACCCATAACTTTGTGAACTAAGAATTCACAGGTAACAGGTACTTGCCCAGAAAAGCATTTGCAACCGGGATTTTGTGCATCTTCATTTACTGTGTATTTATGGGTCGTGAATATATACTCAAATGCTCTTAGACGGGTAAGGGACCATCTGAAACAAAACAACTGTATTCATAATACACCACTCATGAGGTTGCTGAAAATTCGTCGACAGCAACCATATGAGTAGTGTATTACGTCTCTCGCGATACTCGAATATCGTAGTGACTGAAACATGGAGGCGACCGGTGCATCCAGTTACCTGGAAACATTACAAACGAGAGATTCAGCTGGGTCCCAGGTTAGTGTCTCGTCCGTCACGAAGAGAAGGGACCTTACCTTGGTGTGACGGTTTGCGCACCTCAGTGATCCACTGAGCTATACTGGGGAGTGTCACCGTGACACTCACAGAGTCTCTCATACCAAGTTGGTCAATGGTTAGAGGTCTGACGAACATGGTCTCCTGGCTCTCCAGGTTGTGGGTTGGAACATCTGGCAATTTGTTCCGTAGAAATGCTACTGGATTTACAATTCCCCTTCAAACACCACCGCAGTGCGGTTAGGCTTTAGAGTCAAAGGCTTTGGTTGAGGACCCTAATTGTCGTCCTGTCTAGGCGTGGGCGCCCTCGCAGTATCCCTGCCAAAGTACAACCATGATAATTAAGACTACAGCAGTGAAGCATCGGTGTTGAACACTGATGTCATACCGTCGATGATGATGATGATGATGCAGGGTTCTGTCATTCTTAAAGCTCCTGATTATCCGGTGTTTGAGGGACCTGTGTGCGCTATCATAGTGGCCAGTTGCTGGTATGACCTCTCTGGTAGCAATAGGATCTGCTGATCTCGAAGATATTCAGTGTTCATTTAGTCGAGTCAGATGGATTAGACAAACAGTTCTGAAAGTTGGGAGCATTGCTCGCTTAGGTCGCTTCCATTCATAATCCAAGCAATCTTAGTCATCTACATGACTGTGAGTATCTCGTAGCTTTCTAGCTAGATCAGCTCGATACTCTCCAGCTGCTGAAACTTGTCTGAACAGAGCTGCTCTCTTTCGGCACGCGTAGTGCTGGCAGAAAGCAAAGTGCTAAGCGGGCCCACACTATGGCGTGATCAGAATTAATTTGCGTACCCCACAAGGAACGACAGTCCCTAACTGAGGCTCTCCATCGGTAACTGATGGCCATATGGTCCATCTGAGTCCACGACTGCTTGTGGTAGGTGATCTCCAAGTAACTCGGTGTGTGCGTTTGTGTTGGAAGTTCGTGCTGGTTGATGATGGTGCTGATGATGATGATGATGTTGATAATGAAGGTGATGATTAGTGGGAAGATGATGACGATGATGATTGGGATAATGAAAATGATCGTGATGATGATGATGTTGATGATGATGATGAAGATGATGATGATGATGATGATGACGATGATGATGATGATGATGATAATGATAATGATGATGATGACTGGGATGATGATGATGATTATAATGATGATAATGAAGGTGATTATTATTGGGATGATGATGATGATGATGATTCGGATGATGATGATGATGATGATGACGATGATGATGATGATGATGATAATGATAATGATGATGATGACTGGGATGATGATGATGATTATAATGATGATAATGAAGGTGATTATTATTGGGATGATGATGATGATGATGATTCGGATGATGATGATGATGATGATGACGATGATGATGATGATGATGATAATGATAATGATGATGATGACTGGGATGATGATGATGATTATAATGATGATAATGAAGGTGATTATTATTGGGATGATGATGATGATGATGATTCGGATGATGATGATGATGATGATGACGATGATGATGATGATGATGATAATGATAATGATGATGATGACTGGGATGATGATGATGATTATAATGATGATAATGAAGGTGATTATTATTGGGATGATGATGATGATGATGATTCGGATGATGATGATGATGATGTTTATGATGATGTTGATGGGTCTCTCGCAAAGCTAGATTTGTTTGCGAATGAGTGTATTTCCCTGATAATCACGTTTAGCTCAAGTTAAATCGAGACTATACGGTGGCAAACAGTCGGAATATCCTATTGTTTTTTCTTCGTGGTGCCAGCATCGCTATATAGATCTTGGTTCTTCTAGTAGAGTACTTTACTTAACTTAATGGGTAGGTTCGGTTTGCGTGATAATGTGAACGAATTCTTTTGGAATGAATCCACATCAATTTAGGAGTACTTGTGGGACACTAGATGTCGCGCGACACGCTTCCTTCTGCTTGAAGAATCCGCAATAACTGAATTGCACTTTGAACAATTTGTGTTTTTCTGCGGCTATTAAACAGCGCTGTGGAAGTGACGTACTGTAAAAAGATTTGTGACTGTGGGGTAAGGGCAGTTTGTAAAACCTAGTTCTCCACAAATTAATGACCGGATTGAGTGTGATAAATCCGTCCCACCAACCGACTTCAAGTCCTCTAGAGCGTAAACATAAAGCCCTGGATTTCGAAATGATTTTCGGTTAGCTGGTCCAATACTCCCCTGTTTATACCATATACTGTAAGGGAAAATTCCCAGGCGTCCGAGATACACAAACAGATCTCGGATTAGGTGATTGGGTTCTGTTACTTCAATGGCACCCTAAACGACGAATGATGCAGGCGATGTATTGTGCTATTGTATGCTTATAGTTTTCTATGGCAGTAAAGATTGGATAGTAGACAGAATACTCGATCGATTTCATCTGCATCAGGTTGCGGGGGTTATTCGCAGACATCGTTGAGACCAGATCATGAACACTTAAATATCCGGGAAGGTAAAGATTTAGGGATTCGATTGCACTAGCCAGTTCGAGAAAGACCCGCAAGGCTCGGACTACTAAAATTATGATATGAAGATGAACTTCAGACGCTTTCCGGAAACACCAGTTTTGATCTACCTCAGTGCAAAAGTCTCCTTAGAGGCGTGAAGTTTTCCAAGACTCACTGAGTCTAGATTCAATTCAATTCAATTTATCAACCATAAACCGTGTACCATAGGCACATTGGTTCCAGCTGCCACAGTTTCGACCACCGGAAAACGGGAACGTGGTGTAACAACCACGTCTTGGGGTAAAGTCATCTTCAGTTCGTTCAGAAATCGGGTAGCTACGCATTGAAGGGGATAGCTTTGATGCACGAGCGTCTCTGAATGCTCGATTGGTCCATTTCTGTCATTGTCAATAACCATCGGTGATTAGAGTCCCGGGGTCCCCATCCATGAAGGCGGCAGTTGCCCGTCCGACTACGTTTACTGGTCAGTGTTTTCGTACTTCGTTGCCAGGTCATACACTGTCACCTCTCGGTCGCTTCCAATATATATATGTCATGTCAGGTAGATCCAAGAAAATCTGACCGACTTCCGTATGTGTAACAGCGGTCATTGGCCTACGCGAACTTGTTTGACTAGCAGAACTCTGCAAGGACGTCACCGGAAACAAATTTTATGGGCTTGGATAACCATGTATCGATGACATGCTCCAGACTTTTGAGCCCGTCTGTACCGTGCCAAATTAACGTCCACTCAATAAGTGATGACTTGATATAGCTTATCTGATAAGTCCTTTCCCACCCATACTACTAAAGCAGTTGATCTGTGGTTGTCTGTCAGAAAATTACTGATTTAAACTGTTAAGTTATTCTTTTCAGTTTTATGGATATGAATTTCTACCGTAAAAAACAAGGTCCTTACTAGTCCCTCAATTAAACATAATGAAATTCGTTACGTTTAGTCGTTCAGAAAATGTACTGACTGATAAACAGAGGAAGGTATGGAAGAGACACTCTGTTTCTCGGATAAACGATCATTCATAAAATACAACTTGGAACGAAAACAAATGCTTCATGTGAGTGGAACCAAATATGAACCGTCCTGAGTATTTGCGTTACTCCTGTTTTTTTTGTAAAATCAATGACCTTTGCTTAGGCTCGATTTGGCACAATCACTGGCGCCATGGTTTTCTAGCTAGGGCCAGCCAACTGCTTTCAAACTAGCCAAAGTTCGCGGTTCGTTGTTGTCACACTGCACGCGGCAAGTGTTACACATGCTCCACTCTGGGAGGTCATTGACTCTCCCTTTCAACCATGTGACAGAATGAGAAACGTCGAAAATTCCGTCTCTCTGAGACGAAACGCAACAACAGGATTCAGTGAGAGAACTAAACCCACCCGACACAGTGAAGCTGGCGCAGAGGAACGCATGATGGGCACCCTGAATCTCGGGTGGGCCCGATACGTGTACGAACGATCTGTACCTCGTTTAATTCTGCTTCAGCCAGCCAATTTCAACCCCATTTTCTCAGAGGAGGGACATTGGAAATGTTTCAGTGTTGTTTCCCAGCCGGGCAAGTCAGGTAGTGGCGGAGAAATGAAAGACGTTCCCAAGCATGCTGACAGAAACATTTGGGAACTGTTTCGGCCCGTCAGCTGTTTGAACTGCCGTGTACTGCCATGTGTACTTTGTGACCCCAAAACAATGTTTATGGGAGGATGGGTTGCTACAAAGAGGTTGTTTGTCATTCAGTCCCTGGTTCTCATTATTTTTTTGGGAAGAACTATGGTGTCAGACTGGCCGTATAAAGCTTAGATTGCGACAAATTTTAGTAGCACATAGTAGAACATAAGGTTGACGGAAACCCTGGGACTGCGCTTACCTGATGAGCCCTAAAAAGGGCGAAATCGGTCGTGGGCTGTCGACGGATTTTCAGCAACCTTATGAGTAGTGCATTACAAAACATTTTAGTTCTGTTCACACTAATTACACATACCGAATAACTGATGTCCCCCCAACCGAAGATGACATCAAATCTGTCTGAAAATAATCGCTTATCAAGCACCATTTTTCTTTCAATTTTTCTCCGGTGTGATGAAAATGAACAAAAAACGTTTCATAATCGAGAAATACACTCATCTGCAAATCAATTTGGTTTTCACGGGAGACTCAATTGAATCTCTCGTTTATGATGTTCTCCAGCTGAATGTGCTGCACACAGGCCGCCCCAGGATTCAGTTGGCACGATATTCGAGATATCGAAGTATATCTCTTTTCATAA